ATTTAACGAGTGACTTGTTTCGTTAACCCGATCTCGGGATACTCTTACTCACTTCGATGTTACTCGGTGACTCGACAATCGCATCGATCCCGCGTGAAACGCTTTAACGTCTCCTTTCTACAAAATTTACATCGAATAGGCCATAAGATAGCAATCAATTTTCGTCGATGTGTGCAACCGTTGCGTCATGTCCATTTGTCACTGCGAGTTCACTTTAATAGATAAAGTCATAAAAATTGAAACGTACATATTTAACACAAATCTTGCTTACAGTATCATCGCCTCATAGTTTCGCCTATAAAAAACCATTTTTAATAATTTCAACATTTGCATTTAATTTATATGTAGATCATAAAGAATGCATATGTGTATATTCTTATTAAGTTTCTCAACAAAATTTGGGACGACAATCCGATACATTCATTGTTAGCATAAGAAAGGAATTCGAATTTCAGATTTGAATCCAGCGAATATAAAACTTGTCGTAAATCTGTCACGGTCAATTTATTAACATAAACAATTTAATAAACAGCGCGCGAATTTGAATTCGACCGAAGTAAATCATACCCGTCGTTAAAATACGAGGATGGTGGAAGCGAAGCAGGACAGAATAAATCAAAACGGCAGCCACGACGAATGTTAATCCGCCTCCGTTTGTACGACGCGAGGCTACCACATGTAAGCTACGCTCCCGGGGTCACGGGGGGGGGGGAGGGGAATAGAGCGGATGTAACCACCGCCGCGAATACGTGGGCATTTAATCGCGCGTCTTACGCGGACCACACCGAAGGCGATACGCCACGAAGAATATCATCGGAGCGCGTTATCGCGAACTATTAGACACGCTCGTCGCGTTACGACCTGTCGTAACCGAGCGCCCTATGTCGCTTTACCAGTTCCCGACTTATATCCCTGGGAAGAGAACGGGGGAGATACAAAAGCGCGCGGTATGAACAACGAGCGATAAAGAGAGAAGGAAGGCGACAAGAAGGACAATATGAGGATCAAAGGTCAGCTCTTCTCCGCACTAGCTGCTAAAGAGCACACCTATGTCGACGAAACGAGACATCAGACACTCTTGGACCGTCAGTGGTGATCGCGGCGACGTTGCACCATAGTGATGTAAAAAAAAAAAAAAAAAAGATTGTGACAATTAACCGATAAAAATTTGCAGGTGCATCGTCGTTGTATAATCCTTGTAATCTACCGCCAAAGAGGACACGCCATTGGGTAACCGCAGATATGGGGATCTCGAAGCCGATCGCTTTCGCGGGAACGCGCGAGGACGCGACGCGGACCCCGGCAGGGAAATGTCGGGCTGCCGCGATATTACAAATAAATCGGGGTCGACGTAACACGACGCACGCCTTTCGGCGAACCTGTTGCACCGTTGCGCAACAAGCTGCGTTCTGCTGTGCAACATTACGCAAGCTGCATCGTCTTCTGTATCTTGTATATTTCTCTTGTACCGCCGTTTCAAACATATTTCGAAGACACATAATTTCAATTACATCTATACTGTACATAACAGTAAATTTTAACGATCCAAGTTTCGACTCCTTTGTCGTTTCACCTGTGATGTTAAACACCTTTTTTAATTAGTTTACCATCTACATTACAAAAGGTCCGTCAGACAGATAAATAATGATCGATGGAAAAAATAAAATGTATTTCTATAGATTCCTGTTGTGTTATTAATGCAATTAATGCTGGAGAACTTGTAAACCCGCGTAATTTATATAATTACAGGTATTTGCCTATATTGTGCGTGCGATCCGTTCGAAGTCGCCCACAGACACGTCGCCGCGGACCATCGTCGGTGAATAAACGTGCGCGCGTGTACAGGTGCACGCATACAGAGCGAAGAGCCCGGGCATTGAAAAAAGAGGAGACAACCGGTTGTGCTACGCGCGCAGGATCATAGAGCCTAACTCTCGAAAGCGACCTCTCCGTGACTCCGCCGCGAGAAGATGACATCGTGGTTCTCAACCTCAGTCGCGAAATCGCTCCGCGCAAAAACACGTCGGCGGCACCATTTATTTGCGTTGACACGCGACCGGGGGTCAGCAATTACAGGTAATAATATTTCAAACACACGGATGTCGTACATTCTTACTTTTCGTACGGTGTATCGCTTGTTATTGCGATATAAATTAAAAACTAATTTACTGGAAAGGCAAACATAATCGTACTTTATTTCCTTTATCATCTTTTCTCTCAATAAAAATTAGCGAAAACTACTTTCCTTCCATTCCGTATTCATCGTAGCGATCCTTTATTGCAGCGTTAAGATTTTATTGCAGATCTAAGAATTTATCATTTTCTCATGAATGTTATATCGCGTAGAGAGTTACTCATACGGCACAGCGTTTTTATAGTGCAATCAGTAGACGCATAAAAAGATACTAATTTGCACAAACTATAGCAATTAGAAAGCATTATTCCCCAGAGGCGACGACGGATCTTCATTTGCACATCGAGAAATCGCAAATAGTGCCGAAGAGATGAAAAAATATTCTGCGTGTTTACGAGGTTTATCCTCGCAAACGGAAAGATCGCAGCCGAGCGGAGTCGTTGACAGGGTCCCCTCTGACCCAGCAGTAATGGCGAGCGATTGGCACGCAAGAAGTGCAGTCTGATTTACGGGCCGGTCGCGAGAGGGTTGGCATCATAAGTACATGTACGCGTACTCCTCGCCGAGACAAGCCCTCCTTCCGGTCGTTCGGGATTCACGGAGGAAAGTTTTCACAAAATGCACCGCCGCTTGCGAGGCGAGCCTGCCTCCCGGAACGCATCGGTGAATGCAACAGGTACGCGCGGTAAAACCGATCCGCGGCAGGATAAGTCGATCGATCGATCGATCGGTCGCACGCGACACGTCGAGCCGACTAGACCGACGACGAAACGTACGAGCCCGCCGACCGCTGCGCGCCGACAATGAATCTCGACTCTGCGTTTCTTACGAGCGTACTTTTCCCTCTCCTGTGCCCTTCCGCGCTTTGCCTCGCTCGCGAGTCTCTGATCATCTATCTTCGCTCCGTTAGAGCTTCTTCCTCCGCATCTCGCGTCCGTCTTTCCCCGAAGGGCCGATTCGCGAGTTCGTTACTTCCATCTCTTTCTGCTCGCATTCGCGATTGTTCTTTTCTCTCTCGTCTACACTACCGGCACAAGCGGAGCGTTTACATTAATGTATGAGGTCAATCGTAAAGCTCGACGTGTACATACGTCCCGCAATCGGGGTCTCGGGGCAGCAGCGATTTTCTCGTTCGCCGACAGGACGAAAAAAAAAAAAGATCGCGACATGTTCCCCGGTCTAATGTACTCGCCTAGCCGCGCTCGCGGGGGGATGTAAAGTTTACCGGCCACCGTGCGCTACGGCCGCATCACGGGGGCATTATAATGTGAAATCGTGACGCGAGTCCGAGCAGCGTACGCTGATTGTCCGTTTCATTATGCTGATCGCGGTTTCGTCGGTTTAACGCAATTAACATATATACGTAGGACGTAGGCCAGCCTTTCTCCCGGCTTAACGACGCGTCGACGAGCCTGCCTGGAATGTAACGGGAAGCGTCGCAGATATGCAATAACAACCGTAAAACCGACGCGACTCCACTACTCCGGAAAGTGAATTTAGATAGAAGGAAGATAAACGCCGGGAGTAAAATAATGCCGCGCGACTTCGTCGTCGCTCATGAATATTCAATCATTTTTGTATCAATTAAACTGCTATTTGTTATAATTAGAATTGCGAAAATTCCGCTTAGAATGTAGCACTCGTAAAATTAAGTTCCTATTCTGTGAGCGCGCGTGCCGTGAACACTCGCCATGTTTAATCTATGCAGCAATTGAATTGCAAAGCCTTTATGAAAAAAAATCCTGCACTATTCAACATCGGCTCGCAATGCATCTCCATATTATCTCTTTAGTATTCTCATTGTCAATAGATAAACATGCACCGCGGGATACCCGGTTTACTGACTTTGCATTTTTTCGATTGACTAAACGGATACGCTAACCCGCACTTCATTACTAAACGTAAGACAGATTTCAAAATTCAAGATATATTTTATTGCGCTGAGACGTCAAACTGCAGCGCTACTGCTTTCAGTTCGCGCTACTACAACACAGGGTCGTAAACATGCAAACGTGCGGCTTATTAAGCGAGCAACAAAACGACATAGTTGCCGGTCGACGCAATCGCAAATTTATTCGCGCGTTCGCACGGGCGGTCGCGTACTTTGCCTGCCGCAGTCCTTCGAATCGTCGTCGTCGTCGTCGTCGTCGTCGTCATCATCGTGGTTCACCGTCATTTACGGTTGCGCCATCGTGTCATCGTCTTCATCGTCGTCGCTCACCGGACCCGGCTAAGCGTACGCGATGCACTCTGCGAGAGTGCACGGGTTATACGTCGCGGATGGGATATATATTTGCAAGATACGTGTATTACCTGCGGAAAGGAGGCCTGGCGGAGAAGAGGTCGGCCGAGAGGTCGCTCGGTAAATTGGTCGCCGGCGTTACCGTTGATCTACGGCAACAGACGCGATAGTTATGGAAAGGTTACCGCGGTGCGCTCGATAAAGCGTCGCGCTGCCTGTCCCCGGGAATCCGCGACGGCGGGGAACGAATCGTAAATCGCGGAATCGCAACCGCTCGCTCTGCGGAGGAAAAAAAAAGGAGTACCTGTGCAGCGGTCGAGCGAGCGCACGAGGAGGAGATCATCTCTCGAGCGGAGCCCGCGCGCGATGCATGCCGTTTCCGTTTTCCTGCGCTCGACTGCGATGCAAAAACAATTGCGAGTTCTTTACGTCGTTAACACGATTGCTATCATTGTGTTTAAAGCGGAATGGAAAATTGTCTTCCCTTTTACGCGCAATTTGCTTCTAAGCAAATATCGATATAATACTGTTTGTATCGATATTTTTTTTTTTATATTGTGATACAAATTCGCTATGAGATTTTTAGATTTTTGTCAAAATTTTAAAATAAAAAAGTTTACTCACTTTTTCGTCGGGGAAAAAAATCGCCTCCGAATTCACCAAAGAATACGTTTCTGAAACAGAAAAAAAACTTGCGTACATAAATCAAAATAGATTACATTCTGTTTGAACTTCGTTTTCTACGGAATTAAGACAATCGCAATCACGAGGTAAATTCGATGCCAACACATTCTAGCGAGTTCCTCGCGTTCTAACCGTGAGAAAATGTTTTGTTTAATAAGTATGTTTCCCT